TCAGCATTCCACCAGCTGAAAATGAAACAGTTGCCAGGGGAGATTCCTTTCTCCACAATTCTTGCTTCTCTGTAGATACCAAAACCTGAAGATGTTCTTGTGCATATGGCAGTACACAGTTGAGACTGATAAAAGTAACTTTTAGTTTCAAAAATACACTATTTCGTGCCAAAGTACTGATGTTTTATAGCTAAAAAAGTACAAGCTATTTTCCTGCTGTTAGAATTGCTCATTAGGAGTTAAGTGGGTAGCAGCTGTCTGTGTACTACTTAAAATGAACCTTTCAGATCCCATCACAGACTCTAGTATCAGATTTTTGCATGGAGAATAGACCTGTTTTGCATTGGCCTTAGTCAGTGAGTTAAATATTGGTGATAGAGGATATCAGCCATGGTTTCCCTAACTTTCTGGCTGACTAGTATTTTCTCTAAGAAGTGTGTTGTCTACCTCAGTAAATTGTGGGTTAAGTTTCTTATACTAGGCTGCTTGATTGAATTTCCCAGAGTTCTTAAATCACTCTTGTTTCTTCTACTTTAAAATCTAGGTTAAATCATTGCCCACCAAACAGATGCTGACGGTCTAATGGAAGCATTCTACCTGAGCTCTCTGATAATTTTTATGGCATTATTGGCTCTGGAAGCATAATCAGAGATAGTAGTAGTATTGGGTGTTGGTCAGTTTTGACTCGTAGTGATCTCATGTGGACTGTCCCATCGAGTTTTCTTGGGTGTAATCAAAGAAGCAGATCCCCTGGTCTTTCACAGAGCTGCTGGGTGGGTTCCAACTGCCAGCCTTTGGGTTAAGTGGGTTAACAGCTGAGTGCGTAACCATTTGTGTCACCAGGGCTCCTCAACTAAAAGCACATCATAGCTACTCATCTACCAGTAGTATCTCTTTGATGTTGCACACCAAATTTTGACATTTATACATTTTTTCACCTGTTTTGTAAACTTTTCTAATTTTCTAGGTGATTATTTTCTTAATAATACAGAATTTCTGCCTATTTCTCTCAGACTTTTTCTCTGCTGTCCTTTATCTTCCTATCCCTAGAGAGTCTGAGGGTTCCTGAATGCCAGGAGGATTGGTTGGTATGGGAATGAACTTTGGATAAACCTATTGACCAAAGAAACCTGTGCCTACTCTTTTTCCTTTTTTACTGAAACTTTTTATACTTTTGTTTAGAAGTTTTTTTTTTCCCTCGTAGGCAAAAATGATAAATTTCAATCTAGCCTCTGTTTGAAGGGAAATATTCAGAGGCTAGACGAAATTGGTGGGATCTGAATTCATGGATTTTAAGAAGTTTATAATATACCAACTGAGAATGCAGTAAGGTGGCTGTAGAAATCCAAGGATTTTCATGGAGAGTCAAATTTGAAGAGACCTAGGTCAATGTCTCACTTGAGTCTTATTGCTTTGGTAACTCTCTTTGGGTTTTTGGTAACTCTCTTTGTGTTTGGTGCCCAGTCGGAGTGCCATTTCTTTCATACAGGTAAGTCAGTCTTTGATTTTCTACATTCTTCTTTTCTCCAGATGGGGACAAAATCCATTAATGCCAATTGTTGCACCTTGGATGGCAGTTCACAAACTTTTAAGACGCCAGTCATTACTCACCAAAGTAGGATGGAGAACATTATTTTTGTGAATGTGCTATGCCAGGTGACCTTGGTGTCCCCTGAGACTATGGTCCTGAGGCCCCATGTCCAATGACTCAGTCCCTCAAGGAGTTTGGTTATGGCTAAGAGGTTTTCATGACTTTGCCCCCATATATTCTGCTCTATTTATGGATATGTTTGTTGTCTTTTTAAAATACATATGTAGAAATATGCTCTGCAAACCTGTAGTGGGTTTAGTCCCATTTGTCTTCCCACCTCTGTTCAGCTTGAGGCTATCTAAGTATCCACTTAAAGATGGTCATTATTACTGGATTGTGTATGTAATAGTGTTTATGTTATTGCCAACCCTTGTGCTTCTCCCGTTGTCTTCCTCTGTCTTATCCACAGGGTTTTCAATGGCTGCTTTTTTTGGAAGTAGGTGGCCAGGCCTTTCTTCTGAGGCCTCTCTGGGTGGACTTGAACCTTTATATTTTGATTAGCAGCTGAGTGCAGTAACAGTTTGCACTATCCAGGGACTTCATTTTTTCTACACACACACACACACACACACACAAACCCACCAAATTCGCTGCCATCAAGTTGATTCTGACTCATAGCAACCCCCATTGAGTTTCTGAGCCTATAAATCTTTACAGAAGTAGATCACCCCATCTTCCTTCCATGGAGCAGCTGGTGAGTTTGAGCTGCTGGCCTTCTGTTTAGCAGCCAAATACCTTATCCACTACGCCACTGGAGCTTCTTATTTTTTCCATAGCCCTGATTATTTTCTCCCTACTGACCTCCCCCTCCTTGTCTTTCAGAATGAAGTTATCAGAGAAACAGTCCCTGCCTGTAGCTGCATATCACATTGTATAGAGTGGGAGCCTTAGGTGTGTCCTCCTGTGTTCTTTCTGCGCTATAGAACTAGTGAGAAAGGAAGGGTATAGTTTGCTGTTTGGCTTAGTCTAAACATTTATTTGTTAGCATAAAAATCTGGTGAAACTTCATATGACCTGTAAAGTTTATTAGATAAGAAACCTTCAGGTTTTTACATACATGTCAAAGTAAAGAGCTGTGTTTAACCTACTGTTGAGATCCTATCAATTGAGAAGTACACAATCAAATGCACATTTTTATATTGATAAAATACACCTACTCGTCACTTATCGATTATCTCATTATTTGACATTTCATATTTACTACAATAGTAAAAAATTGTCCAATGATTTAATGCATTAATGACATTCATCTGATAGTAATGAATGCCAAAGTATGAGGCAAGAATAACACTGACAGTAATAGTTAAGGTTATGTGTCAACTTGGCTGTGCCAAGATGCTCAGTAGTTTGACAGTTATATAATGTAATTTGGCAGTTAAGTAATGATGTGGTCATCCTCCATATTTGTACAATGCTGCTTTTTGCATAATGACCTGGTCTTTGGAACCTAATGATGTAAGGAGTGAAGGTATTTAATAAAGCCATTCCCTCTAGGAGGTTGAAGAAATAGGATATTTTAGTTAAATTAAAATTTGAAATAGTCTAGGAATTAGAATGATTATAAGTGAGGATAGTATGGTATCTGGTAAAATTTTTATACGTTTGATTTGTTTATTTTCTAATGAAGTAAAATATAGCATGCAAATGAGGGCATAAGTTCTACTGGGTTTTTAGCTTTTTTATTTCTTAGATTTTAAATTATACTGAATCTTCAGAAAATACTTATATTAGGAAATGAATATTTATTTTGTGAAAGTACTCATAAGAATTCTTTAATATTGTTGTTGTTATGTGCCATCGAGTCAGCCCTGACTCATAGCGACCCCTCCTTGGGTTTCCGAGGCAGTATCACTACGGAAGTAGGATTGCCCACCCTTCCTTCCGAGGAGTGGCTGGTGAGTTTGGACCGCCAGCCTTCTGGTTAGCAGTCAAGTGCCTTAGCCACTATGCTACCAGAGCTCCCTCTTTAACATTAGGCCTTTTAAATAAGTTTTTCGTCTTAAAATCAGTTATTATTTGACATTTTGGCTGGCAATCTGCAATACTTTAAGCTTTGTTAATCTACTTTCAGTTGAAGATTATGTAGACATAAAGTTTTTCAGAAATAATATTGACACTTAATTTCTCTTAGAAGATTGCTTTTCAAAATTAGCTTTATCTGTAGCTGTCTAGGAACCTGGCCATTATGCATGGGTTTCCCGGTCAGTGGCATTTTCAAATTATGCAATATGATTGTTGTAATGAAGAATACTAGGAGTCATTGTGAATCATTCTGTTTATTAGACTAGTCAAAAGTAAAATGTCTTAATTGCAATATAAAAAAACCTGTCATATCGCTGATGTATTTTTAATTAAATAACTAAAGAAATTGACTGCTAATCAGAAGCCTGGAGGTTCAAACCCATCAGCTACTCCTCTGAAGGAAGGTTTGGCAATCTACTTCTGTAGAGATACTGCCTTGGAAATCCAAGGAGGGATCTCTGTGAGTCGAATCGACTCGATGGCAGTGTGAGTTTGGGTTTGGTTTTTTTTGGTATCATATTTTACGTATCTTTAGTATTAAAAAGTTTAACTGATTTACTGGATTTAGCATTAACTCTTATACATAAAATGTTTTTGTAAACATTTTAATTCATTGTGGATATGGAAAAGGAACATTTACAAAGTTTGGGAAAACTTCTCTTAAAATTCCTTCTTATCTTAAAAACATTTTTTTAGGTATAAATGGGATCACCTTTTATCTTTACCCCTTAAACACAATTGAAAAGGAGTATGCTTAATAATGAAAAGTGTAATTTTCAAGTTGGAAATATATTGTGGACTCTTAAGATGTTGTTGTTGTTATGTGCTGTCGAGTCAAGACCCAACTCATAGTGACCCCTCCTTGAGTTTCCGAGGTGGTATTGCTACGGAAGTAGATTACCCAACCTTCCTTCTGAGGAGTGGCTGGTGGGTTTGAACCGCCAGCCTTCGGTTAGCAGTCAAATGCCTTTGGCACTGTGCTCCAGAGCTCCTGGACTCTTATGAAGCCAAGAATAATTATTTTCATTTGCTTCGTGTTGAGATCTATATTATAATTCACTTAATACTGCACTAAGGAGTAAACTTTTCATAATTGTATGCAAAACTGCGTTAGAAAGGTGGTGGTATCTTCTGTTTGCTTCCCCATCTGAACCTTTAAGCAGTACTTCAGAGTTTAGTTTAACTTGCCTTTGAGTTCTTGAAGGCAGGGAAGTAGTGGTCATTTCATGCCTGCTCTGAAATGTTGAACGGAGAAAGATTCTGTCAGTTATATAGGCTGATTTTCAGGCGAGTGCCATTTCATGCTCTCTGAGCCTTTTAAGATGATCCAGTTTGGCCAAAGATTCTGGACATTGCACTTATCTAATCTGAGTTTGTTTACTTTTAGGAGTGTGCAGACTGGTGCCTAAAATGGAAGTAGATATTAATGGAGAGTCCAGAAGTACCCTGGCCACCCTGCCCTTACCCATGGCTGAGGCGAGCTCACCGGGAAAGGCAGAGGCAGAGAAACCCCGCTGCTCCAGCACACCATGCTCCCCAATGCGTCGGACTGTGTCAGGCTACCAGATCCTCCACATGGACTCTAACTATTTGGTTGGCTTCACAACTGGTGAGGAACTCCTGAAGTTAGCCCAGAAGTGCACGGGAGGTGAAGAGAGTAAGGGGGAAGCTGTGCCTTCCTTGCGTTCCAAACAGCTGGATGCAGGACTTGCACGTTCCTCTCGTTTGTATAAAACCCGAAGTAGGTACTACCAGCCATATGAGATTCCAGCTGTCAATGGCAGGAGGCGAAGGCGGATGCCCAGCTCAGGAGACAAGTGCACTAAATCTTTACCTTATGAACCTTATAAAGCCCTCCATGGGCCTCTGCCTCTTTGTCTTCTTAAAGGTAAGAGGGCTCACTCCAAATCCCTGGACTACCTCAATCTAGATAAAATGAACATCAAGGAGCCAGCTGACACAGAAGTCCTACAGTACCAGCTTCAACACCTAACCCTCAGAGGGGACCGTGTGTTTGCTAGGAATAATACATGAATGACTTACAGAGAATTTAAACCAGTTTAGGTCAGCCTACACTTGGCTAGAAAAATCTACTGCTGTACTCTGTACATGACTTTTCACATTACAGACGGTTATATCAGCTAAGGGTTTCTGGAACATAAAAATTGTTTGAATCAAATTTTGAATACAGGAATGAAATTCACAGGTACTTGGGGGAAAATTGTTCTAGAGCACGCAACTGCAAAGAAAACAGAATGTTGACCATTAGTTTGTATAGCTTTTTAGCTAGGAAAAAAGGCTTTGGTACAGTAATACCATCTTTATGGTTTTGACGCTCAAATTGAGAATGTTAACTGCTTCGTTGTTGCTGACTTGGTATGATTCATTAGAAATTTATATCTCAAGTACTGAAGTACTTCTTTAATCTCTGTATTTTACTATAAAATGTATGTAATGATTTGTTTTATGAAATTGAGAACTTGAACATTGCTGAATTGGACCACTTTTTATTTTTAAATATTGAGTTTAAATATTTTATAACTGGTTTTGCACTGAAAAAATTAACATTTCAGATTGACAAAAGAATAATTTTTCTTCACTTGTCTCAATAATATTGAGCAATGAATTTTTTTATTTCCGCATGGAAAGTTATTAATCTTCTCTATGGCTGTAAAATATTTCTTTATAGCATTATTAAAGTGTGTCTTAATAAAATTAAATTTGGGATACAAAGTATTTATTTTACAATGAGTGGGGGAGAAGCTTTTCCAGAAAGTTTCCAATATGAAGTTTTCATAAGTTGAAAAAGTTTCTTTAGTGCTTATTTTCAAATTTAAAATTCATTTGGAACTTTAATATGGAAAGGATTCTTTTAATTGTGGATTATAAGCATAATACTATTTGCATCTGAATGTTCTGTAAGTGAATGGAACTTTAATAGATGAACTCATGATTTCTACTATCGAATGCTTAAACTAAGTATGAAATGTTACCATTCAGCATGACATCGGGTCATTCCAGTTTTAGTTTTGTGCAGCACAGCACTCACTGAAATTCCAGTTTCTAGGATTAGTGTATGAGCCTAAAGTGCTTCTACAGTTTTAATGGGTTAATCCTGGATTACTTAAAAATTTATGTCAATTGCACTGGTTTAATTTGTTGCTAAAGAAACAATGCCCTGGCTTTAGTAACAAATACAGCTCAACTATTCTTGAATATATTTTGAGGAGGAAAAAAAAAATGTATGTAACTTACCTTTTGTAAAAGTTTCTATTTTTCTTTTTCTTTTTTTGACTATTAAAGGTGCAATTTATTACAAAATTAACATTTCTGGCAGCATAGAACTGCTTATTTTAAATTTTGTTCTGGGAGCTGTGAGTTTCTTAGGTATTAACAATCTTGCTTATGAAGTAGGAACACCTTTTAATTAATAAGTGGGTCATTCCTGGTGTAATTGTGACTTTTCTTTAGCCAGCTTGAACGGCAAACTCTATTTAGAGCAGAATAAGTATTAGAAAACCCTAGGAACTCTGTTAATCAACATTTATTATACTTTCATTGAGGCAAACGTGAAAGAGCCTTGGGTAAATTGGTCTATAAATCTTCCAAGTTGATCAGATTTCTTGGTGAGCTGGAAATTTTCAGCTATTGTATATTTCAAAGTAAATTGCACCTTTGTAACATAGTGTATTGACAAATGATCACTAAGATTAACTATATCTATACAGTCATTAGTTTGACAAAAATAGAATCCTATCAGATGCCAAAGAGTTGGGATTTTTACGTTTAATGATTAAACACCGTTATTTATTGATGATTTACCCTGTGGAATTGTATTATTTCTAACTACGAAATAAAAGGGTGATGTAAACACACATTGTTGTGTAGTGCTTTAAACAAAGGCCATCATCAGTAGTCTTACTGACTGTTTGAGATTTCCATATTTGCACTTATCTTGGTGGTGGTTGTTGATTCTGACTTTTAGCAACACTAGTGGATCATTGGTTAACTTGGTCACTAACTAAAGTGTCGAGAGTTCTATGGGCTCTGTGGGAGAAAAGACGTGGCTATCTGCTCCCATAAAGATTACAGCCTAGGAAACCCTATAGGCAATTCTATTCTATATTACGGAAGTTGGGCAGTCTACTTCCGTAGTGATAACCACCTCGGAAACCTAAGAAGGGGTCACTATGGGTCGGATCTGACTCGACGGCAGTATGTTGCATTTGTTGTACATGAGTCATTTATTTTTAGGTTCCATTTTTGGGAAAAACCTTTAGTTATGTGCTCACTGGCATTTCAAGGCAAAAAGGATGTAATCATGGAAATGATAATTTACTCAGTCTATTAAGAAGCACAACTGTGTGCCCGTGGGATGTGCCACTGTGCATGTACCCGGATAATGTCTTCAGGTAAATTAAAATTTTTAAAAAGTAGCTTGTTTTTGTTGTGTTTTACATAAAGATAGGTGGAACTCTGGCGAAAACAAAGATGGGGTTACCAGTGTAGATAAGGCATATTTACTATTGTCTGATTAGTAAAGGAACATAATTTTAAATTTGGTTTCCTAGAATGAATTTTCAAAAATCTACATCAGTTTTCAAAACTAACACTGGAGCTCTGGTGGTACGCTGGTCAAAGCATTTGGCTGGTAACTAAAAGGTTGGCAGTTCAAACCCCCCAGTCGCTCCATGGGAAAAAGATAAAGCCATCTACTTCTATTAAGACTTACAGCTCTGGAAATGCTAGGGGCAGTTCTACACTGTGCTACAGGATTTCTATGAGTCGAAATTGACTTGATGGCAGTGGGTTTGGTTTTCGTTCTAATTTTCAAATGGTGTTTTCCTGAGCCCTTTGTTAGTTCAGATTTGCTTTCTACAGTCTGGATTTGTGCTCTGGGTAGGTGGTATCCTACCAAAGAAAGAATAGGCTGGATCTACTTCTAGCTCAGAAAGAAAATCCTAATTTCTTCAGCCCTTTAACATAGTTTCTATTTTTTTTACTTTTTCATTTTTGTGCAATTTAATATTCCATACTAAGCCAGGCACAATTTCAGATAGAATATATCTCATGATATTATTTTATAGTACCTCCCTTTTATATATTGCAGGACCACATAGATTTAAAGACTCCTCTCCTCCCCACAAAAATGTCATGTATTGCGGCTCAGCTGATGTGTAAAGTAGCAATAGTATTCATGTCATTACCCTCAGTTGCAGTTGAGTTTCTTTTGTTCCTTTGACTTCCGTGTGGCTTCGTTTTGTACCTGTGGTTCTCGGGCTCCTGTATCCAGCAGTCAGTGAAGAAAATAATATCGGGCTGGTCCTTCCCAGTTGGCAAGACCCCAGATGTGGACTCTAGCCTGCATTGGCTGCTATTCCAGGCCCATTTATCTAGTCCTGTCCCTTGCACCTCATGCCCTATCGCGCTGGTGTATGCTTCCCTGTATTTTTTATGTACATTAATATAATAATCTCAGTATTTGGAATTTGGGAAGATTCTAAGTTAGCTTTTTTATTTTTTAGGATTTGGGTGAAAGTTTACAGGACAAATTGATTTCCCAGGCAGCAGATCATACATATTTTATATTATGATATTGGTTGTAGTCCCCACAGTGTAACAGCACCCTTCCCACTGCCTGTGTTTACCATTTCTATTCATTCTGTTCTTCTTTGCTATCCCTTTCTGCCTTCTGAGCTTTTTTTCTTAGGCAAATGTTGCCCTTTTGACCTCGTATGGTTGCTTGTTCTAAGGAGTACATACTTTCCTGGTGTTATTGTTCAACTTACAGACCTATCAGTTGTTTGGACGAAAGTTGAGCCAAAGTGGTGAGTTCAGTTCCAAGCTTGAAGGGTGGCTGAGGGCCACAGTCAGCATGGTTACACCAGTCTCTATCAGTCCAATAAGTCCGTCTTTTTTTTTTATGATTTTGAGTTTTGTTCCACATTTTTTTTGCACTCTATCTGGGACCTATTGTGATCCCTTTCAGAACGGTCAGCAGTGGTAGCCGGGCACCGTCCAGTTCTGGTCTCAGGGTCATGGGGGCTGGGGTTCACAGGATCGATTAGCCTTTTGTACTAATTGTTTCTTTACATCTTTAATTTTCCTCACTCTTCTTGCTCCAGATGGGGAGAGACCAACAGTTGCACGTTAGATGGCTGCTTACAAGCTTTTAAGATCCCAGTCAGTACTCACCAAAGTAGGATGTAGAACATTGTCTTTGTGGACTGTGTTATACCAGTTGACCTTGGTATCCCCTGAGACTATGATGCTGAGCCCCCAGGCCCAGTGACTTATTCCCTTAAGATGTTTGTTATGGCTAAGAAGTTTTCATAACTTTGCCTCCTGTATCTCTACTATATTCATGGAAAGGCAAATTGGTCTTTAAAAAAATAATATTTCTTGAGATCTTGAGAAAAGCAATCCATTTTTTACTTTTCTCGTTTATTCACGAAGGAGAATATTTCTAACATATTTTTGCCTTGGGAAGGCTTTTATTCCATTATAACCATTTTAAGTTTTCTTGTTTATTTGTTTTTCCTGAGGGAGATTTTAAGTAACCGTGGCCTGAGTGGTTTGTTCTCAATCAGAGAAAATAGGAGGAATGTGAAGCAATTTATAAATCCTTTAGAGTAATTGGGGTGGAGAGAGAGCAAGGATGTGTATTAATGTGGAGAGGACAGCAAGTATTAAGTACAATTGCTTTTTTAAACAATATAGCTTGATTAGGGAAATGGAAATTGATGAGGAAGATTGTCTTGCAAATATAAATGTGATTATAAAACTAGAAATGGAGGCTGTCAATGCTTAATGGTGTGCTTCACTTTGTAATGTGCTTCTTAGGGTAAGACTTATGAAGTAGACTTCTCTGATATTTCACATTAGAGAAGAGGGCTTTTATGGCTGAGTAGAACACTACTAGAAGCACATGAAAAGAGGAATGGATTTAATTTGTTATTTTGAGTTTGCTGAGGCTCTAGGACATCTCTACTCCAGCCAGAAAGAATGTTGAATTTGTAGTATCCTCATGGTGAAATGATTTTTGGTAAGGTTTTATTAATGATTTTAGAAGAAAAGTCTGAAATCAAATCTCTTGAACTTTGTCATTCTTAATCTTGGAGTTGTGTTTGATGTGCAGGTTTATGGGAGAACACTGGATGAGATAAGGGAACTTTTTAAATAGACGAGCACAGCATCTGCTGGAAATAGAGAAAAGCACACAGTCAGAGGAAGACTTCAGTGATTCTGTGATTGTGTCTGGAAAGAAGAGAGCTTTGATGTTACTGCTTTTATGGGAAAGTTGGCAGCCCTTTCAAAGGTCTTACTGAAGGCTATTGAGAAGGGGTTCTTACTGTGTGTCTGTGGAAAGCAGAGAGAGGGCCCATGATGTTGACCTTTAGTCTGATTAACTAGGAAGAGGATTCTTCACCACACTTTTATGTAAAAGTTACACATGGAAGTATGTATTTGGGAGACTTTTAATCTGTCCCTGGCCAGTGTTTCAGTGAAGGAAAGGAACTTAGGTGATAAGAAGTTCTTGAACTTAACTGAAATTCAGACCTTGGTTAAGTGGTAAGAGTTAAGATGGCAAATACTGAGCATGTTTCCCACCTTCTTCAGATCTATGCACATGGCAGACATTACCAATCCATCATAGCACAGTCTTTCTCAGCAACTCTCTCAGTGACCTCATGGTCTGTCTTATCACTTTGGGCAGCTGCAACTGAGTCTGTTGCATTGCAGAGGAGATAAAACCCACTCCCTTCCCCCTCCTGTGGTTACAATGTGAATTTAGAAGTGATGTGAACTTTGTTGAGTAGGAAAACATTCTGGGCTATTTTAACCAGAGAACAGGCAAATAGCCCCACCACCATTACCCACAATGCATATACCAAGCGCATGCAGGCAGGCACTCTAGAGACACAGGGTTCAAGACAGAGTTTTCTCCTTCAAGGACATGTTTCTTACTGGGAGAGGAGTTAAGATAGCATAAGCCACATGCTAGGTGAGTATTTTCCTAAAAAAAAAAAAAAAAAGCAATTTAAAAGAAGGGACTTCTGTGGGGCTAAAATCTGAGAAATGGCAATCTTGTTCATTTTTCTGTCAGTATGGCTAGCTTATTGGAAGTGCTTACCTACATGGCTGATGTGTAATAGAACTTGAAATGTAAAGACTTCTCCACCCCCCCCCCCAGGGGAAAAAAATGCTTCATAGGGAAGCTTGGAAGACTAAGACTTCAGGGAGTACAGAATCTTAGCAAAATAATTGATTCTGAAATTGATAAAGGCATTCCAACAATGTTAGTTGTTATCTCTACCTGCCTCCTTGGTAGCCTGCTAAATTGTACTGACCCAGTTTCTAGGAGACAAGAGTTAAGGTGGAGGGGTAGTTAAAGAACTGAAGCATTGGAACTGTGGGTCAGGGAAGGCAAGGGGTATATGAGGATAAGTCAATAGATATTTTAGGGATTCTTCCCTTGTACAACCCTTCTACCCATTTGGGGGAGAGAAGGTTTTCTGTAGTCACCTTGCATCAGAAGTAGGTTTAAAAATGTATGTTTTTGACAAAATTTGTATAGGAAATGACACTGCAAAATGTTTTGCTTAAGAAGTTTCTTACTATAGATCATCTTTTGAAATGATCAACTAGAACCTTGGATGATTTGGTAGATGCCTGTGCTTTACTTTCTAACTTTCTTGT